TCCAAAAACAATCGATAATATAAAATTCTCTCTGAAACCATTACCTACTACTCCTGAACCTACTCGACCAACAAACCAAAAAAGAAGAAAAAGAGAACCTAAAAAACACTCGACCTAAAGCATCACGACGCGTGAAAGAAGGACGAGCACCCCCCTGGATGCACCTCCCCTCCGTTCCTCTCTAAACCCCAGTCGCCGCCCAATCGCCATGTTCTCGCCACCTAAGATCCGCGGGACGCCAATTACGCCCATGCGGTTGGTCGCCATCAATCAGCGAAATTTCCGAAACGCAAATATGGTCAGACAGTCGGTGCCTCGCGACTCCTTTCAAGGAGACGTGGAAGACGTTCCACGAACCAGCCTCCGCTCCGGCGCACAGTCCTCGCACACCTGCACACTGTCCTCTCTCGTCCTCTTCCCCATAGAGGAGAAATGCGCGCCATATCCACTTTTATCCCTTTTCGCGTATAAGGTGTTCACCTGTCACTTAGCGCAGCGTCCCGGGAGCAGCTTCAATTACGGCTCTCCCTCGAGCGCGTGCACACGGCTTCGTTATCCGACTGGCCGATCCTCGCGGATTGTTATTAGCCGTAATCCGCGCGGTAATTCGATCGAGGGATGGAAGGTCGTGTTATTCGATCGGTTGTCCAGATCCGCCGCCGCGCAACCGACTCGGTTTGAGCACAGTTGGAGAAGGTTTGATCCTTGGGCGAGAAAGAAAACCTATCTTTTTAATTAGTTTCCATCCAGTTACGTGTTGTTCATTCATTACGGTAATAGGTTACTAATAGCTCGATTGGCACAGAATATTGGCAACAATTGATGCGCAATTTAATTTTTCCAACGATAAATCGTCTCGATTCGGTTCCCTGCCATTCCCCTCCAACTACTAGAGTAACGCGAACAATTAGCAGGAGGAATTAACGGCCGGGTGTGTAAGTTGGCAAGACAAGGAAGGGGGAGGATTTCACGTGTACGTGTAATACACACGGACAGAGCTTCTATTCGACCTCTCCCTCTCTGTAGCACCCAGGGGAACCTTTCGAGGATTGTGGCACTTAACGGATGATTAAGAGGGCAAATAGAGAATCGCGTTGGCCGCTCCCATCCCCCTGGTCGCCCCCCCCACAGGACACCCTCCTCGGTGTGTCGTACGTTTAATCGAGTTACCCCCCATTTCGTAATCGCCCTACGTCCCCGAGGCGTTGCCGTGGCGACCACGGCCGCTCCTGAAACCCGATTGGCGGATCTTCACGCACGCGGAAACACCCGGCCACCCCTTTCTACGTGGCCTATTCCCCAGGATCAGCTCGAACGTTCTCTCCTCTTTCGAGACCACCACCATCCTCCACCCCCAACTCGATTTACACTCGGTTTAACCTGGCTGTCTCCTCTCCCCTCCTACGAGTCGAGTCGCTTCATCGACTGCTGCTATTTTGCCGGGGGTTGTAGTTCGTAAAAATCGCATAAAAGATGTTCCAACAAGCTTGGACGAGGATTTATGCGATTTGGAGGGGTCCGCGATACGAAAGTCTTGGATCTCGTTCGATGCCGTTCGAATTTTTATTTTTAGAATTTCGACGAGAATCGAGAATGGAATTTCAACGCTGGCATTTTTGTGTATACAATTTCGTGGGGAAGTTTCGTGTTTGTTTTGAATAAAAAAAAAAAAATAATAATAATAAAAAATGTTCCATGAATATATTAACACTTTATATATTTATTTTTAGCGGAACGGGTTTTTTAAATTTTAATGTCTACTGTTATGTATTTCCTCTTTGTAATGGCGAATAATTGGATGGTAAAATTGGAATTAGAAATGAATTCTTTTTTTTTTAAATATTTATCTATAATATACATATATATATATATTTCAAATACGTGATCCTTCTCATTTGATCCAATAAATTCAACCTATCAATATCGAATTACTCGACAGACAAAAGAACTGGAATCAAATGTCTATCCTGTCGATTTTTTGTATTAATTAAAAAAAAAAAATCAGCCGAAAATACTTGAATTTGAAGAAGAAAAGAGACATCCATGCACATTTTTTTCTAAATTCAATTAAAGGAAAAAGATCGCCAAACACGAGGTAACCGTTTCGTCCCGAGCCTTCCACTCGCCCCATTCGCCCCCAAATTCCACTCTAAACTCCATCATCGTCACAATTTCCATTTGCAAACCGTATCATCGTTGGATGATCTCCACGCACGTCGTTCGATCCTCAACAGGGTTTAATCCGGGTCTTGTCAAAACCACGTTGGATCGTATGTTAGACAAACATACCCCTCTTCCCACCCCCTTTCGATCGTGGACAAATGCTGATTTCACGCGTAGATAATTCGAAAATGGGAGCCCTTTCAACCCTTCCGTCCGAGAGCAGGAAGCAGGAACAGGACAATGTGTATGTCTAACAGTCAATTCGGGGACAATGCGCGGCACGGAATCGTTCGCAGCCAGTCGTCCCATCCCCTTTTCTTTTTTCGCCAACCCCTTGGCGAAAGGGGTTCCGCGTCAACGACACGGACCCATTGTAACCGGATACACCCCGTTAAGGGGTGGCTCCTTGATACACTGGGGTGGATTATAACTAGTTGCCACTTAATTTGCCGAGGCTACGGGGTCGCACAACCCCTGGCAATGTTGGAATTGGATTGGTCGGATCGATTATTTACGCTTTAGACGTAGTGATTTGTGCCGTGTCCCGATGAATGGAATAATTTTATTTATTTTTTTCTCTTCTTTCTTGGAGAGCAGGAATCGGTGATTTGCGATCGTTTCTGAGATGCAAATTTTTTTACAGCATGTTGACTGAACCGAAGGGGATAATTTAAACTTGGAATATATTAGGAATTGAAAATTCTCGACGTTATTATTCTTCACGTTATATTAGATTCACGATGTTTTAACTCTTACTGGATATGGCTTGTTACGTTTCCAAAATTATTAATGGTTATGTCTGAGTGACTAATAATTCACGATTAATTTTGGATATACATTTACACGGAAGATCGAATTTGAAGTGAAAAAATACTTTGGATTATCTTCGTGTTACTAGAATATATTAGTCTAGGGATCTTTAAGGTGACAATTTATTTTAACTCGTTATTATTCGGGAAAATGTGAATCATTTCCAATTATTATTCGACTCGTATATTAAACGTTACATGTATTCATTCATTTGTTTGTAAAAGTGCAATCGAATTGAGGAAAATCGACTTTGTGATCGTTGCAGGTGAAGGTATGGTTCCAGAACCGACGGACGAAGCACAAGCGGATGCAACAAGAGGAGGAGGCGAAAGCGCAGCAGCAATCTGGGGGCGGTGGAGGCGGAGGTGGTGGCGGTGGTGGAGGGGGCGGGAACACGAACAACAATTCCAACAATAAGAACACCCATCACGTGAGCAAATGGCAACAGGAGACCGGAGATTATCACCACGAGGAGGAGGAGGAAGAGGAGCACATCGATCCGGAGGCGGAGGAGTGTTCTAGCGGCTCGGAGGCGTAGCTAGACGTTCTCTGCCTGGACTAAGGTGCCAGGAATTGCGTCTGACCGACGATGAACGATTGCTCGAATTTTTGGCAACCGTGGTTCGATCGACAAGAAAGTATAAGGCCTATGTAAAGGAGAAACCTTTTGGATTTTCTACTGTGCGATGGAATTGTCGGAATTGCCCTCCCGATTGTAAAAATCTTGGGAGAGGGGTGTAAAATCAAGGGTTGCGATGCATCGAGAAGATCTAAACGGGATAAAATCGAGAATTTTGGAAGGATCGCGATTTGGAATTGCCGGAGAAGAAATTTTTCTTTTTTTTTTTTTTTTATTATATATTGTGAACATCGTGTGAAGTGTAGAGAGTTTTTGAAATTTGAAAAGATTGGGAATAAACGAAAAACTTGGATGGAACGGCTGGAGTTGCTGAACGATACGGATAGTGAGTGATCGAAACGAGTTCGAAAATTGTCGGTGGAGATCGAAAAATTTCTTGCGATTCGACCAGAAATTTTATATAAAAATTGTCGATAGTGAGATCGCGCGTGTGTCACAATCTTAGGAAGTGAGTGTTGAAGCGAAGATCGATCGTCTTGTAACGATCGCGGAAGGACTGCTCGAGAAAAAGTTTGAGAGACTTGCGGAATTGTTGAAATTCCAAAATACATCGAGCGAAGATGTAAACGAAACGAAAGCGGCAGACAGAAGAGGCTAGGAGGAGACTAGAAAGGAGAAAAGGAATCGACGACGATGAAATTGTCGTGGAATTGCGTGTCTCGCGAGTTTCCAAAGATCGCAACCGGTAAACGAAAATAAACGGCGCACGATACGTTATCAAATACGTGTCCCGCTGACAAGCTCATGATCGTTCGATCGAGGAATTGCCGAGGATTTTCCCCATCGATCGGCAATTCCAACAGTCGCCGTTGGACGACGACTGCGGAAGACTGCGGATATCCCTGTTGGCAAGACTGACATAGCTCACCCGTGTTCCCCTCGTCGAAAGCGATCGAAGAGAGAGAGAGAGAGAGAGAGAGAGAGAGAGAGAGAGAGAGAGAGAGAGAA